ATCATACCTATCCAAAGGTGGGATGCTTTGTGTCAGGGAAAGGTCCCTGCAGTATTCTTGTGACTGTCCTTCCTGATGGGTGAGCTTTCTTCTTTGATGTGTTAATGAAAGAATTTTTAATCTTGCCTCTCAGGGGTCACTCATTTAGGAGAGAGGTGAAGCTGGCAAAAACAGTCACTTGCTGTCTTTAAATTCAGAGTAGTGTATATTTCTAAGGACTTGTTGCAAATTGAAAGAGGTGGTTACTAGAGCTGCTGCTGGACGCTTGGTGTGGAAGTATCCCCTCAGTTCTGTCAGAGATGCAAGGATATGTATGACTGGAGTGAGTGATTTTCTAGAGATGGGAGCCCTGGCACATGGCCCTCCAGGCTTGCTTTAAAATGCCTGCAAGCTCACCCATCTTCACGAGGATGAAAAGTCAGCTTACAACCTGGCTGCTCTTTGATTCACTTGTTTCATGTGAGAGCCATTCGCCTTAGGGAAAGAAGAGAAGAAAAAATCTTTTATAAACCCAGAACAAGAACTCCTCTGTTTAGAAAGTCTCTCAATTTCTCTAATTGAAAAATTTAAAGCACTACCTGGACCAAGAATGTTTTCTAAAAATCCCAGATCCCCTATCAAAATGAGATTTATCTAATGTTCAGGGCACTGTCTGAGTAGGACAGTGGAGAAAGTTCAAGGAGAAATGACTGCACAGTCTTTACTCTCAGACAGCTGAAGATGAAAAACTCCCAAAGGATTTTGTTTTAAAATATTTTCAAGAAATAATGAGAAATAGGAGAACTGCACAAAAAGACACAGAGTGCCAATTAACTCAATAGTTTTTGCAAGCTTATTTTGCAGTAAATAGCAATTGCATACTAAAGCACTACCCAGAGGGACTGGTTTACTTTAAATTTAAGGTAGGAGAGAAAGTGACTCTAAACCCTCTGCATTTTAAAAGAAAGAGTACTTCAAGAGGTTACTTCTCTCACCAAGGTGGACAGAGAAGGAGAAACAAAGTGATTTTGCTTATAAAATATCTTTAACCATAGGGGCAAAATGAAAAATAAGAACACTTGGAAATATCAACTAAAACTTAAGTAGCCATGCAATGACGAGTTTTTTTTTTTTTTTTTTTTTTTTTTTTTTTTGTTTTGTTTTGTTTTGTTTTGTTTTTAATATTTTCTTTAAATGAGTGCTAAAGGGATACAGTAGTCAATTACAGGAACAATGGAAAATTGCAGATTGTCAGAGAATAAACTTCAAGCAAAGAAAAGGCCAGACTTTGTGCATGTTTTCAGGCAGGTCTGAGGGACACATCATGAGATCCAAAAGCAAATGAACCAACTGTATCTGTGCTGGATGGTATTTGAAACTTGTATCTCTGAAATCTAGGACGAAACAAACAAATAATCAAACTGACAAAAATAAAACAAAACAAAACAATAAAATATTCCCACTCAGAACATTTCTTCCACAAAAATCCCTGAGAGTAGAAAAAAAAAATGTAGGAACAGAATTTCAGTGCAAAAACTTTAGGAAAATAGGACAACTGTCTGACCATTTTTGGAGGATATTGGAAAGGAAAAAGCTCCAAGAATGCTTAATGCCACAGGTGTGGGAAGGTCTCAACTTGTTTTGTTCTGTGTGAATCTCTGGAGGTGGAAAAGTTTCAGAGCTGCCTGTCAATCTTCTGTTTTGGGAGAGGGACTCCAGGTGCTGTTAGGACAGGCTTTGTCAGAATGGCTCAGGGAGGAGGTCAAGGCTGGGTGCAGGAGAGGTGGCACTATGCATCCTGCTCTCACAAGCAATCTTTGTCCCTTCCTAAATGCCTTGCCTTATTGTAAATACAGAGAAATTAGAACAAAATTTGAGTATGAATTCAGATAAATAAGAATGGGTAAGACAATGGCATTTGTAGACCTAGATGAACAATGTTAACATGTATGATTTTGTCTCTTCAATTTATTTTAGAATTCCTCTTAGTATCTGACTGCCCCACTGTACTGCTGAGAAATAGGGACACATATTCATTTTGCATACCATTTTTTATTAGGTAAGTATTCCACTAAATGAACCTTTCCACTAAATGTCTCCTGCAAATTATGTATCCTGGCACAGTTGCAGGTTAAGAAGAATTCACCTCTTACGTACATATCAGGGTGCTCAGTTTTGTTCTATGTTGGAAACGTTTATAGGCATACAATATAGGATATTTTTCATAGCCGCCTGATAACTTTAAATTTATATGCTGTGTACTTTTATAATATCTCTCCAATCCATTTAACCTATCTAATGGTTTTTGGTGTGATTTACCTGGTCAGCCTCTACAATTCTTACTGGTTTCCTGGTAGGATAGCAAATTATTAAAATGTCTTTCTATTTACTGGCATTTGAAACTTTTTCTTCTTTTTCACAGAAATAGCTTTAACATTATTGTTTCACTTAAAAAGGTCTTAAAAGTCTGGCAGTGATTTTACATCTAATTTCCAAAAACATCAACTGTAGCTATTTTGACAAGTGTTCCAATCCAACCTTCTATTCATTCTGGCTAATTTATTTATTACCCGTTTTAACAGAAAATGATGCTTCTACCATGTAAATGAGAATATTAGATGATTAACAGAGGACAGCCAAGCAGAACAGACTGTAAAGGAACCAATCACACTGCACATTGACCAAGGAAGAAAATTATGAGCTACAATGAAAACAAATCCTTTATGACAATTGTGCTGCACTAAAAGATGTGAAAACCTATTACAGTCTTGCTTATCCCAGTGGAATAGTAATATCCCTTATTTTAAAAAGGCATGAAGCTGACAAGAGACCACAATCACATCAGAATAAGAATGTGATATACATTGATAACGGAACCAGAAACAAATCAGAAAAAGTAATGTTAAGTAATTATCATATCCTGCAGATTATTTTTGTGTTCATGATGGTGTTTTTTTTTTTTTGGTTGGTTTGTTTGTCTGTACAAGAACCATCAAGTCAAGCACTTTAATAAAAAAAGAATTGAATAATTCTAATTCTACAGAACACTTCCAATGTTAGTGTTCCATTTACAGTACACTATTTAAAGTCTATGTATACTGAACAAGGCCTCAATAAATAAACATTTTTTGTCAAATTAATATTTTCTTTTTCAGGCTGTTATCTCGGTGACCAGATAAAGCTATGTATACATATTTAAAATTATATGAAAGGGCTACAAAGCACTGATATTACATACCACGGAGAGCCTCAACCAGTGCCATCTCCCATAGCAGCTTCCTGTTGAGAAATTAGGAGGCGACAGATGAGAATTTGGAGGTGTTTGTTACTTTCCATGCAAGTGCTTATAGTGTACTTCCCATTCCTTCCTTTTTGCTGAACAAAGCTAGTACAACATGATACCATAAAGCTCCAGACTCTCACATTTGTGTCCCAGGGGCTCAGGAGAAGGCAAGGCGAATGAAAACATTTCGGAAAGGAGGGAAAACTGACCTGGAGAAAGAGTCATGATGAAGCCACATTTTAGTCCACTGTTGTAAATTAGTTCTTGGTGTTGAAGTTTTCAGATTATATTTTTCAGGTCTCAAAGACAATTAAAAATATTTATTCTTACCTTTTTTTTTTTTTTTTTTTTTTTTTAACAGGCTCCTAATTACTGTGTCATTCAGGTCATCACTGATTTATAACTGCATGGCCCATGTCTCTGTTGTGGTAATCCTACAGAAAATTTGGAAATGAACCAGTTTTCATTTGCTTGCTATTTTGTTTCTGGGTGTTACTAATCCAGGGCCAAGACAGTACACTTTATGTATGGAAAATAGGATCATGTAGGTTGGAAAAGGCCTTCAAGATCATCAATTCAGCCATCAACCTGACCAACCATGTTCCATCACTAACCCATGCTATGGAAAGTACCATGTAAGAGAATCTATTGAAATTTAAACTAGAAGAATGTCAATCAACATTACTGTCATCTGTTTCCCATACATCAATGGGATTTAAAGGTAATATGGAAGTTACGGTTTTGGAATGAGCAATACTGCTTATTCATGGGCAGAACATTCAGCATAGTGATAACACTACTTGTATTCCAAGGCTTGTGTTTTTTGTGTGGAAATCAGTGCTCCACCCCTTGGATTTCCTTTTAAAATTTCATGTTGCAAGACGTGCTAATTTTCTGGTTTGGTGATCTAGATAAATGGTAGTTATTGGACTAAAATGTCAAGATCCTATTGGCAATAACTTCGAGTGCAGGCAAGGCAGGTCAACAAGATCCTGCTCTGGGATGCCCTACTCTGCAGGCTAATAGCCATCACAAGCACTATGTTACTGATTTTTATTTTTATTTTCCAAATAAGTGAGGTAAAAAATTGCATAACACTATGTACTCCTGAAGGAGTGTGTACCTTGAAGGACCAAATAAGCACTTTTTGAATAATGATTGCAGAAAAAAAAAAAAAAAGAAAAGAAAAAGTGAGAGCCCTTCTCATCACACACACACAAAAAAATCCATTTACCTTCTAATAAGAAAGTAAATACTTTTCTCAGAATAATTTGTCTAAAAAAAAAGCTATGTTATAACCTCCCATGACTCTCTTTTTCTTTATTGCATTCTAGATTACTTGGATTTTTGTTTTTAAATCACTGTGACTCATGTTCTGTCAGAATGGGATGATCTCAGTTATATTTCTAGCTGTGAAGCTAATAGATATTTGCTATGAAACTGCTGGTGAAATTTTCAAACATCTGAAAATTGGACTTAGGTATAGATGTGGCAACATCATATCTGTTATTGTATTCCATTAAAGAGTTCATTAGGCTTGAGTAATTAAATGCTGAGACCAAAATGTTTGCAGTTTCATAGGAAACAGCCACTATTAAAGTCTTTTTAACCTTCCTTTACATGGAGGAAAAAATATGGAGAAAACAATCTGTATTTAAATGCAAAGTATTCAGCAGGGCTTTTATTTATTTATTTATTTATTTATTTATTTATTTATTTATTTTAAACAATACCTTTATTTGCTTTTGCTTTTGCTGTAAAGAATTTTTATATGGAAAAACAAACCAACCATTTCACAGTCTTTTATGAAGTATTAAGATAACTGGGCTTTGGAGTAAAAGAAAGTTAGCTGAGGTGAACAGTATCCTTGAAAACAAGAAAATAAAATAAAGAGAAAAGGTGCCTTCAACATCAGACTTTAACAGATTATCTCTACCATTTGCTGTGGCAGTCAGAGTTTCCATTCTCACTTGACTCTCTTGTCCCTTTGTCTGAGGCAGGAGAAAAAGCTAGCATTTTACCTCATCTCAAAATCACAGCCATAGGTCTCACCCACTTTATCATCACTTTAAGCTAAGGTGACAGGCTAAGATGCGTTTGCACATTTCTTCAGCCATTCCTGCTGTGGGATAAGTAACCCAGTAAGGGTGAGGATGAACAATTGAGGACAGTAGTAATTTAAACCTTATTAACAAGAATATCTAAGGCTTGCTTTGCAGTGCCCTTCTGGGAATAAATATTCCTGGAGAAAGACTAGCACAACATCAAACTGAGATACTCAAAGATTTTTCATTCCCTTTTCAATATCAGACTGCTAGTCATCTCTCTGGTCAGTAAGTCACAGTGTTTGGTGCTCCAGAGCATGTGGAGCACCAAACACTTGGAGCAAGGTTCTTATTAAACAGCAGGAGGGAAACACTAAAAAGTGGCAAAGGAAAAGAAGTAAGGAATAAATTCACACATCTGAAATATTTTTAAAACTAGGTGGAAACAATGTTATGTGGAAGCTACTTTCTGGCTTGGTTTGGGTGAGACCATGAAGATGAAGGCTCTGGGGCATTGAATGCATTTCAGCATCCGGTAACACAACGACAATAAGAAAGATGGTTCTGTCCTGCTTTCCCTTCTTCCAGATAGTGAAGGTGAGCTCTGGAGCATGATAGCAGTAACTCACACCCATCATTTTGTTTGCTGCTTAGGATTATTCCCAGACAGGCTAGTGGGGTCTTTTAATTTATGGTTCCAGAGTTCTTGCAAAACAAACAGGATCATCTGTGGACAATAGAAATTCATGTTATTGTTTGGAGAAAATCAGCTTTTCTACCTAAACCAGTTAATTTTATAGGGAACACTGCATTTTTTCTGTTTGGACAATTCATATATCACCATAAATAAGCCAACGCTGAGCAAGTTTGGTAGACAAAATCCTTAAATATTTTCATAAATCACACATTTTGTGAGGCTAGAGAGTTGCAAAGAGCTACCCAAGGAGAAAAATATAAGATTTCTCGTTAGAAGTGAGATTTGGGGTATTACTTTAAGCCATTAAGTCACTGCAGCTTTGAACAGTAAATTAATTTAAATAATTTTAGCTGTGGTCTGCCAATTATAACATCATGTAGGAACAGCATCCTGTGTAGCCTCAGGGGATTCAGGCCAAGTGGTTTTGCTGTGGTCTTAATTTTTTTAAGGTCAGCTTTTACCAGTGGGACTATGTTTTATTACCCAAAATGTATAAAATATCTCAGACTACTCAGAAAGCAAAAAAGAGAAGGAAAACAGCAATGATAGTAATGCTAACATTCAACACCTTTGTGTTGCTGGTAGCACCATTGCTACAATAAAAAGGTTTCAACAACAACAACAACAACAACAACAACAACAACAACAATAATAATAATAATAAAGTAACAGTCCCAACTCTAATGAAAATGCAGTCAATGTAATTACTGCTTTTATAAAGACCCTGGTCTTGTAACATGGCCCTGAAGAACAAAATATGATTTTTCATATTGAATTCCTCTACATTAAATGCAAAATTGGTTTCCAAATATGCTACATTATTCTCAAGTAGAAGAAAATATCCTTTAGTATCTGATTTGGTAAATCATTATTCAAAACTTCCATTGAGATTTCCCTGCCTACGTTTTCTTTGTCATAAAGAAAAAAGCTTGAATTTCTTACCTGCAAAGAAAAATATCTCTCTGTTACACTTAACATGACGTTGACACTATAAACCAACTATCCTTTCCCCTCAGTCCACTAACCCTTTCTAGAGCTCAAAGACTGGATATGTCAACAGCAGACAGATGATTATTTTCCAATGTTACTTTTGAAAGAATCAGGAAATAAATAACAGTACTAGCACCTTCTCACCATCTCCTTCTTCATCAGCTGCACTTAACAGTAACAAACAGCTCTATACTTCTACCATTTCTAATGTCTTTGGAACAGCTAGACACTGTCTTTTTTAACATACATTTTGTTTGAAGAAAAATGTTTTATTTTAAGTGTTCATCTAGGAACCAGAACTGCTTTCTTTCTGCCATCCAGTATTCAGGTTTTTCCTTTTTTTTTTTTTTTTTTTTTTTTTTTAATCAGATGTTTAGAAAATGTTAAAATAACTCTCTGATCCCTGGTCTATAAAATATTTTTTATTTATTTATTTTTATTTTGTGTGTGTGTGTGTGTGTAGTGTGTAGGGTGATAGGAAATGTGAGACTCTGAAAGACTCTGTGTATAGGTTTTCTTACTCCATTTTTCTTAACCCTCATTTCAGCTGTTGGTCCAGGGTTTGGATGGAGAGTCTATTTCTGAAATTGTCTTTCTTTCCCACAGTCTTGGGCTACAGTAAAATCTCACTAATTTGTACTCTGATTCACTTACACAGAAGACTTCACAGAAGTACGTTTGAGATGGCATCCAAATATTTGATAAAATCAATTATGAAACACTATGAAATATTAATTATTCTGTTATGAATATTATAACATTATATTGTAATTATATATTATATTATAACTCAGAGTTAATTGTGCCTATCTAATTTAAGGACATTTTGCACTCTGATGCAGTATCCTCATCTTTGTACTGTCTTTTAACTGCTTATAATGTTTTTCCTGGTCAATCAGTCAGACTTTGTTTTCTTGAAAGTAAATTGTTGGACTACATCCTTAAAGCAGGGATTTCCAAAGCATGGGATATTATATTACCAGCAGGATTATACTTGGTGTATGAACAGGCACTGCCACTATCACGTCTCCTCTTTCTAGCCTTCTTTGTCCTGATGGAAATACCACATCTGGAGGAGCTTCTGTTAGGCTCCCACCCTCTCTTTCAAGGCAAGGTATTAGCCATTTTACCCTGTTCATTTCTAACATCACAGTGTGGGATGTGGGGTGTAGTGATGGTGATAAATTGAGTAAGATAGAAGTAAGGTTATTTAGTAATAAACTTGCTTTCCATTGACCATTAGATTCTCTTTTGAAGAGATTGTATCCTTATATACACAATTTCTTCATAAAGGAATTGATCTAATACATAAAAAAAAAAAAAAAAAAAAAAAGAAAAAGAAATAGAGCAAAAGGTGGGACCTGTGAGCAGGTTTCTCTTAGGCCACTCAGTCTTATTAAAAATGTTTTACTTCTGTAAATAATAGCTGTTCTTAGAGATGCTGGTGCTGTTCTCCCTTGTGGAGAAGTAAAAGGGTATCTGAACCAGAGTGCAGATGTTCTTCAGTATACAGGGGCTTGCCTGTAAAATATAGTCTATTTGGTTTGTATTTTCTTTCCTGTGTCTGTGAATCAATATGCTTTCTTTGATTAATAATGTTCCTTACATGTCTGAAATAGCACTCTCTGTAAAGAATAGTTCAATTGAATTGTGTCTTGGGATGTATATTAATTTGCTTACCTGTATTAATATATTATATGCTAGTCAGCTCCTTTCTAGCCAGCATTACAAATGCTAAATAGGTGATTTTTCAAGTATTTGCTTTCAACCTCCTTCCCCCTTACCATGTTCTTATTCACAATGTTATAAAGGAAATGGTATAAATCTTGAGAAATTATTTTTACTGAGGTGTTTTTCTTTTTATTTGGTATTTTTAAAAGGCTTGTCCAGCTGCCTTCAGTTTATACATGGTCTTTTATTTTTTTTATTTATTTTTTATTTTTTTTTTTTGCTGATTATTTCTTATACTGTACTACATTTAGAAAAACTCCACTGTAACCATGGTAACTATTTTTGCTTAAGCACAGTTGAGCATGTGAGTTCATTTTAATTTAGCTGAAGAAAATAGAGAAATGCTCTTGAAAGCTCCTGAAATAATTTGGGTTATTATTAGTTTTCATTTCAGGTTCAACAGAGATAGAATTGCTCATAGCCTTTCTCTTTCCTGCTTTCAATGATTTTGAAATCAGTAGGCGTGGGCTGTAAAAGTTTATATAAAAGTTTTGGGAGTTTTTTTTTTTTTTTTGTGGGCAGCTTGCCTTCCTGAAGAGAACAATCTGTGTACGGTGAGGACTGCTTAAATAGGAGCAATACTACAACTTTCTTGTCTTCTCTGTTACACCAGAGGGAATGTGGTCCTCTGTAATCTGATTTACCTTATACCTGGTGCTAGCTTGAATCCAAATCTTTGCAAGCCAGATGACTTTGGGTTGTGATAACCCAAAGACAAACCAAGATGGCCAGAGGTGGTAAAAATACCAGTGCTACATACCTCTTCCCGTAGATTTATGGAGATTTTGAAGAATATCTACTAATGTCCAGTTCTGCAGGGTGTTTTCCTGGTTGGCCATATCCAGGAATCAATCCTGAAAATATATCTATGGTAGATATTTCTGTCAGAGAGAGTAATAGAAAATAACCATACCCTTTATATACCTAATTCAAAATAACTATACCCTTCATATACCCTGATGCAGCACACAGCTGGGAACTGACATACCCAGTTCTGATCCAAAGGTCATCAGAAAAATTCTGTGGGAGAGGAAACTAAAATGTGAACTTCACTAGACTGTCTTTGCTGCAGGAGACCCCTGTAACTCAGCCCTATCGGCATGTCCAGTTGTCTGCCTCACATTCAGGAAAACCTCAGGACACCCAGATACAGCTTACAACCACAAGTTTTTATATCTCTGTGATTCAGAATCACAGTGTAAGCTACTCCATATGCAGCTGACTAGCCTGCCAGCTGTGATGGGAACTAGAACAAGTCTGAATCTGAAGTACTGAAGTACTTGTGGCTGCTGGTGAGCCCAGTGTATGAAACCTGATAGTCTCCCTCATCAGAGTCAGTATGCTTGGGCTTATCCTTGGTTGTTATTTGATATAATGTTGTTATCATCACCATAATTAGCTGAATAATGTGTGGTAAATCTGTCAATATTTTTTGCTTACCAATTGGCAAAACATATGTAGTGATTTGACTGCCTCTGCAGAAGGTTGTACTACATTTTACAAATATTCTGGTTTGTTGATTATTTATTTTTTAATTTATTTATCGTTAGAACACTATTTATTCAGTCTTTTCAGCACAGGAATAAATCTAATTATTAATACTAAAGCTAACAATCTGTTCTTTGCTGTCAAAGGATGATGTTGCATATCAACCTCCACAATGAACTTTTTATATCAACAGGGGTCTTACTATGGAGAAAAACACTTTTCCCTAAAGAAAATATATCACTGTAGAGAAACAGAGGCTAGTTTTTCCTCCATTATGTTGTTAGTAGTGACCAGTCTCCACCTCTAAACACCAATCCCTAACTTCTGCTGTTGTCTTACCACCTGTGGTGCCTGTAATACAACAGCTGCTTGAAAGAGGTTCTCAATCTACCTTCTCACATTTATATACTTTGAATAGCTGCTCCCTTGCAAAGAGGTGGGGAGAAATCAGTAACTCTTCACTCAGTTGTGACTAGTTTGCTCCTGTAGAGTGACAAGTGATTGATTTGCCCCATCTCCCACTCAAACTCAATTACAGCTCTTCTATTTGTATTGTACATTGGGAAGAGAAAAATGGAAAGTTTTATATGAGAGTCAAATCTGAGGGCAAATGTCAATCCACATAGTTCAGATGAAGATTGGCTGATGCCTTAATTAGAATGTTTGTGGAGCTACTAGGGAATGCAACCTGTACCATTACCTACAGAGCTTTGTCTCCAGATGTTCATTTTATCAATGTCAAGAAGTGTATTCATGCTCTTTTATCAAAACCTATAAATCCATTAAAAGGATTCATAGGTACTGAATTCAAAGGTTACTGGATTCCCTCCACTCTTTACCTTAGAGCTCAGAGTAGCTGTCAACACAATTAAGAGAGTGGAACACCTTCCTGAATGTGAGAGGCATTATAACACTTTTTCTTCATCAAAAAAAAAAAACACAAAAACAACAGGTTGAAGATGAAAACATTACATCGTTTGTACATGCTACCCATCAAGCTTTTCGGAACCTGTTTTTTGTTTGTTTGCTTTTGTTTTTGTTTTGCTTATTTTAATAACAAGCTTCATGCTTTCTTTTGTGTTATTCTTTAATTGAACAGTTGAATAAGTATATATAGAACAGTAAATAGGGAAAATTTTTGTCTGGGTCTAAAAAAAGGAAGAAAAATGTTCAGTCATAGCAGATTGGAGTACTGTTACAAAGGTTTACTATTGTGCTTTATCAGAGACTGGTGTAGCCCATCAGACTAACAGGAACATATGATACCTATTTTTAATATTATAACTCTGGCTGATAATGGTGTAATTTGGAAAAGGAGAAGTTAAGTCTTGATGTCTGGTAATAAAGTTAGGACAGAAAATAAACAATAATAAAGAGGAGTAGCAGGACTAAAGAAAAACATATTTCTATATGCCAAAAAATCACAAAGGTCTAAGAAAATTCATATGCAAATATTGAGAAATTATATTAATTTTCATTAGGATTCTAAGAAGTCAATATATAATTTTCTGGGAAGTGCAACTTCCCAAAACAAAGCAGTGCTATCTTGTTAGAGATGATTGGACTATTCATAACTATGCATAGTGAATCATTTACTGGAATATTTTTAGAATTATCTTAATTTTTTTTTGTAAACAGTGTGACTGGTGAAAGTTTCAAGAAAATGTCTTCTGGGCTAAGATTTCTTGTATGGTGTTCCTGCGATTTTCACACAATTACTGAGTACTTGTCTAATTAGTTGAAATTCTGAATGCCGATGTGATGACCAGTTGCCTTGACTGTGCCTTTTCACTCTTTGCATCTGTGGTGGTTTTACTATAGAAATCCAACATAACGGCATCATGACACCAATAAAGCAGACAATTTACAAACACTCTTGTCCCTTCACCACATCACAACAAAACATATTCCTCACAATTATTATTTTCTTAAATTCTTCACAACTATTGCATTCATAAACAATATCCAGGACATGCTTTGCCAATTACTTCTCTCAACTATCATCCTTATCTCAAATTCCTCGAGCCCCATGTTGGGCGCCAAAAAGGACTATTAAGGTTTTACTCAGGTGGGCAGCTGAGCTCCACCACAACCACCCTCTCACTCCTCCTCTTTAAAGGGAAAGGGGGAGAAAATGAAACAGACTCAAGGGCTGAGATAAGGACAGGGAGATCACTAAACAATAATTGTCACAGGCAAAGCACACACAACATAAGGAGATTAATAAAATTTATCACCTATTACTAACAAGAAGTGAGAAACAAAGCAAACTAAAAAACACCTTACCCCCATCTTCTTCCTTCCCTCCCTTCTTCTACTTCCTTCCCACAGGCAGCACAGGGAAATGGGTGGATGGGGGCTGTGGTCAGTCTACAGTGCTTCTCCTCTGCCATTCTTTCATGGTCCCTCTCTGCCCCTGCTCCCCGTGGGGTCCCTCCCATGGATGCCGTCCTTCCCAAAATGAGCCTGTGGGGTCTGCCCACAGGCAGCTCTTCTTCAAGAACTGCTCCCACACGGCTCCGTACCATGGGGTCCATCCATCCCCCAGGAGCAAACTGCTCCAGCACGGGTCCCCCACGGGTGGGCAGCATCTCCCCCCAAACCCCCCTGCTCCTGCGTGGGCTCCTCTCCACGGGCTGCAGCTCTGGCCCGGGGCCTGCTTCTGCAGGGGTTCTCCATGGGCCGCAGCCTCCTCCAGGCCACATCCACCTGCTCCACTGGGGGCTCCTCCACCCATGGGGGGGCTGCAGCGTGGAGATCTGCTCCATGTGGGACCCCTGGGCTGCAGGGGGACAGCCTGCTCCACCAGGGGCCTCTCCCTGCACAGCCCGCAGGGGAACTGCTGCTGCCTGCCTACGGTACCTCCTGCCCTCCTGCTGCACTCACCTGGGGGCTGCAGGGCTGCTTCTTATTCCTCTCTCTGAGCTGCTGTAGCACAGCAGTATTTTTCCCTTTCTTCAATCTGCTTTCATAGAGGCACAAACACTGTTGCTCGGCTCTTGGCAGTACTGGGTCCCTTAGGAGCTGGGTGAAACTGGCCCTTATCTAACATGGGGTAGTTTCTGTATTATTCTCATAGAAACCACCTCTGTAGTCCCCCTCTATCAAAACCTTGTCATATAAACCCACTACACTATTTTCAGTGCCATCATTTTAAGCAGGGCACCCTTACAATATAGGATAACAGGCCTTTTGCCAGGTGTTGGACCATGAGTATATAATGAGAAAAGAAGCATAAGCCATTTGTTGTTTGCGTGGTGTTTGTGATTTTGCCTGGCTGATGTGCAATTAACTTCAGAATTAAGGTTCTGCAGGAAACCTTACACTGATATCTACTTGTATATTAATTTGCAAAGAAAATGGCTTTCCAAGTCAGTCTTATGCAACAGTTCCTATCTTTATAGGCATGCTGGCAACTGAACCATAGAATTAAAGGCTGTGTAATTGGTGTATGAAACAAGGAAGAATCATTAAATGCATTGTACATTTCTGTCCTTGTCTTGCATTTTCCACTGCATAAGCAGAGACAAAATCTTGTTCCCATCCATTTTCTTCCCTTCTAAGCTGATTGTCTTTCACAGCCAGGTCATCAAGACTCTCTAACAGGGTGTGTACCAGAGGTCATCCATTGCTCAGGAACAGGTTATCAGCACCACCTTTCTGATGGCAGCCCCTTCTCTGGGGTCTGGATGAATTAAAGTCCTACCATATACGATGGGTAGGGCTAATGATGTCGTGGTCCTACTGCTCTAAAGTACCATGGGGTAAAGGCCTGCTCACTTCAATAATCCTTGCTTCTGCATAACTTTTCTGTGGGGCCCTGCATAACTGCATGTTGTGCAAAACTTTCTTCAGCTGCTTGAAAAGAGACTAATTTTGTTTCCATGGTTGAAAAAGCAATTTTTGTGGACTGGACACAGAAAAGGTCCAAAGAAACTCCTCTAATCCCCCACAAAAAGCAGTAGTTAGGTGAAGGCACATATTTTATTTGGAGAGCGATGTGTTAATAGCTTCTTGCATTATTCAGTCTTCTCTGCAGGTTATAAAATTCAAGCAGTACACACTGAGGGAGAACAATGGGACTACAAGCTTAGTGTTTTCAAGACACTTTTTTTTTTTTTTCCTTATTTGGCCATGTGCTTCATCACTTCCTACCCTCAGTTTTTCATTGCTTCTGGTCTTCAGATAGATGTTGTGAGGATACATACACTACAGTATTCTGAGTACCTAAACTGGAAGGGAAAAATATTATCCTCTATGTAAATGCCTGGATGGCATTATTATTTTTTTTTCTGATTGTTGTTTTTCTAATCATCTTAATGTGCTGAGATTTCTAAGAGGGTGGGAAAGAATTCCATAGGAATTGTACTGCAATTTGCTAGTTGATGGCACCCCTTTTCAAATGTTACGATTTAGGTGTTATGATAGGTGGTAGGTTGGGGTGTGGGGGGGAGGGAGGCTGGTGCAGGGAGGGGTTGTCTTGTTCAATAGTAGCAGAAGCAACTCTTTCAGGACCTGACTCAAAAGTTTGTTACTTCAGCAGGACTATTTACTATGTTTTCAGTGGTCACTGAAACAGGCCTTTGGAAGAGGTGTCAAGTTAGTAAGGTTTAGTACTGAAAACTTATTTAGCAGGCACTAGCTTTACACATTCTTCCTGGTAATAAATAATGTCAATATGAATATCTGTTTGTCTCAATCTATATTATTTTCATGGTCAAAATGTTGCCTCCAACCTGTTCTGCTCACCTTGGATGGGTTGACAGCACCCCAGTGAAAGGCACTGTATGGTTAACAAATACCCGCTGCTCTAGTCCTGGCTCCCACAGGAGCAGCCTCTCATCCACAGTGAGGGTGAAATGAAATAAAATTTGGCTGAAATCAGCTGCTAATTGCTGCTGCCTTTGGTTCTTCTTCTGTCATTTATTTTGAAAATTCAGTATTTTTTTTCATTCTGCATCCTGCAGAGCTCATCATAGGAAGAATCCCTGGAGCATTGCGGATGAGTCAGGTAAAAGCAATTAAGGAAAGAGAGTCTATTGGCATTGCCTGTGTGAGCTTCTGGCATTTGCTAAGTGATGGCCTCCAGTTGATGGAAAAACTTTAAGGTGTTCACAAATTAATAGAGGTTGGAAATGATTTGTAAATCATTGGCAAAGCTCTCTCAGGTCAGAGAGTGCTGTGTCAGGTTTTCTGTATGATGAACCAAAGCATTATTTTTCATATGCTACAAAATTGCTTCCACCATAAGTAATTTCTGGCTGCAGTCAGATGATACCAGCTCTATCTGCACTTGAAGAGCATTTCTACACTTGGAATTGTCCTTGCCTATGCTCCTTTGATGCTCCTCTGTATAGGCATGTCTCTTTGGCCAAGACAACACACATTAGATGAAGTGAAGTAGTTGCAGGATCCAATTCAATTCAGTGTGCTCAGGACCTGGTCTATATTGCACTATATACTGTAACGGCTGGCAACATAAAACTAATTCTCTGGTGGTGCATGAATTTGGTAAATATTTAATATTGAAAATAATTCATTTCTCATTAGTAAGGAGAATAAGAGAAATAGTCTGTGGAAACATCAAATATGTTTTCCTTTTTGAGAAGTAGTTTTTCTTGGACTCAGTGACAATTTAAATTCTATGTACTTTGCTAAGTACTGCTGACAAACATTTGATCTAGTAGCTCAACATTATATGTATAACAATGTGGAAAGTATCTTCATAATGATTCAGGAGAGCAGTCCACCTAATAATTCTTAAAGTCATTGTTTGATGCAACTATTGACTTGATCACAAAGAATGCATATCTCAGAAGAAGTTATTAAGGTCAGATATATATCTTGCTTGGGTCATGAGAGCATGTATTTGTTTCAGAAGTTTTATGTTCAAAACACAGGAAATTAATCCCTGGCAATTTCCATCAGCATCAGTTCTGAGGATGTCTGTAACGAAATTATGCCATCCAAAGTTTTGTATTGGGCCTTCTTTCCTGAGTGCTGAGCTACAGGATTTGCTCTGATATATATATATCTTGTTCCTACAAATACATATCTCCAGAACAGAACTGGCCAAACTTTCATATTTCAGCACTGGAGAAAAATATTGCTCTGCTTCTGAAATTCCTACTTGGTTAAGTTTTAGTTGGGGCATGTTGCGAGGGTTGTATTTTTATCAGGAACTGACTAGATTAGGGCCTGTGAGACAACAGCGCAGTAGAGCTGAGAGAGCCGAGGCAAAGAAAAATGTTAAGGATTGTTTTCAGTTGTTAAAACTTCCTAAAGAAATATGAGAAGAAATATGAGAGTGTGAAAAAGTTTTTTTTTTTTTTTTTTTTTTTTTTTTTTTTTTTTTTGTCTCACAGAAACATTCTTTATGTACTTAGGAAAGGACAAAAAAGACATTTACGATGAAACAACCTAACTGTATCTCTTTGAACAATGTCTGATAATGGACATTTCAGTGGCAAAAAAATACCTTATTTTGTATATTTATAATGATGGGGCTTGAAAAGGATTATTTTCTTCTAATCGAAGCTTGTATATGATCAACATGTCCTGTAACAGTTATACATATCTCACACATTTCTATTGTATTAAGCATCCTAAATACAGGTCTTATGAGGAGCAGTTGAGGAAGCTGGGATTGTTTAGTTTGGAGAAAAGAAGCGTCAGGGGAGACCTTATTGTACTTTACAAGTGTAAAGTACTCCTTACCTTAAACAGGAGGTTGTAGCAAGGTGGGGATCAGTCTCTTCTCCCAAACACCAAGTGGTAAGACAAGGGGAAATGGTCTCAAGTTGTGCCAGGGGAGGTTGGATGGTAGGAGAAAAGTCTTTACTGGAAGGGTTGTAAGGCATTAAAACAGTCTGCCTGGGGAAATAGTTAAGTCACCATCCCAGGAGGTCTTGAAGAAATGTGCTGATGTATAACTTAGTAGCATGGTTTAGTGGTGGACTTGTCAGTACTAGGTTAAAGATTAGACTAGATGATATTAGAGGTCTTTTCCACTGAGTGATTCTATGATTCTAAATAACTAGTGATGATCACTTGATTTTAACACTTTTTTTTTTTTTAAAAAAAAAAAAAAAGCAGTGATATGAGTTCTAATACATGAACTTTGGCCAGATATTTCACGTCCTATTTATTATTCTTGATCTTTCAATGAATAATATTCAGACAAACGGAATAACAGAAGTAGTTTGTGAATCTAGGATCCGGTAAATGCCTTTATTATGTTGATCAAAGTACCTTCATCTTTGCAAGTATAACTCTTAGTCTTGCTAAGAATAAACCAATGAAATAGCATATTCAGGTATACATTTCCTCACAAGCTTGTTTGTTTCCAACCTCTTCACATCTTATTCTTCCCCATAGGAATAATGATTACAGTAATAAAATACAAGAGCCAGGGTGACAGAAGTATTTTTAGAGCCTTCACAGACTTGCACATAGACTTAAAATTTAGAATGTTTCAGTTCCATGATTGTTTTAAAATTTTAATATTGGGTGCTAAAGACCTCCTATAAAGTATATGAAAATATTTTGTTTATTCCACGTACTGAAATATTTTTTTTTGTTTTAATCTTGACTTAAATTTTAGTTAAAATATTACATTTTACTTATACAAAGTTTGCTAAGATTGTTGCCTATATATTATTGCAAGTTAAAAACACCATTTACTGATACTAATGTGCACATAAGCAAAAGACTATTTATTTCTTCCTTCAGGTTAAACTTAGCAAAAATAAGCTTGTTTTTATGGGACTACTCTCCAAAGCTCCTTTTCCCAGTGGAGTTCTTATTAAAGAAAATTGATTTTAGAGGGTAAAGAAAGCTCAGATTTCAACTGACAGAAATTCTAGGCATTATGTAGGAATTAATATACAGTGGCTTTAAAACTGCTACAGATTTTTGTCAGGTGTAATCACACAGCCCATGGCATTTCAGACACGTTTTCTCCAAATTAACTGTGAGACTGAGAATTTGTGGGGGACTTTTAAACTCTGCCCTGAACTGAACCCACTGAGCAAAGAGAAAGATCTGCTTTCTGCCATTGAACATTTTTGAAAGAGGTGATGATGACAGAAGTTGCCATATCAACCCAAGATTATATAATATATAAATATATGAATATATCATATATTTATAGTATACATTCATAGTATACATATATATGTATATATATTCATAATACACACATATATATTATATATGTATATATAATGAATAAATACATATTTAATGGATAAACAGAATATTGGAGGAAAGAAACCCGTACCACAAGCTGAATATCTCAACTTCATCTTAAATATTTTAAGTCCCTTCAAACAGGACCTCACTAGTACTCAAAACTGCAACCAAAACTGTGTTGTGATATGACATCCTTCTGGGTTATGCCACAAGAAATGCCTAATGAGATTCAAAGTTGAGCTGAAATGGGTCTCAACCCCAAGAGTCTGGATATGTTTAAGAAGCCAATATCCCATTTGCCAGCTGAGTGGATTTGGCCCTCAGTGTGCTCTCAGTGCAAACTCTTGTTTAGAGCAGCTCTGGCACCTGCTGGAAAGATCATTTGGAAACAGCAGGGCAGCAGTGGGTTTTAAGGCATCTGCAGATCTGTTCTTTTCTCAGAAATCCTGCCTTCAGTCACTATGAGGAAAAACAAAGCCACCAAACAAAAAAATAATAATAATAAAAAAAGCACCACCAACAAAAACCAAAACCCATTACTTTTCTGAAATATGTTCCAGCTGATGTACTGGGAAATAATGTTAGTCATACAGCAGGCATTTTGGAGCTTCAGGCACAGAGAACATATAAGGCCTCTTTGCTTTCATCTCTAAAAGTGCTTTGACTGGATTTTTTACTTTGGGCTTACTGTGTACATTATGCAGACCTTAACCTGCATTCGATGAATTCTGACACAAGAAAAATGATCAATGCCAAAAATGAACAATGCCAAATTCTTTTGTGGATTTGACTTACAATACTGACACTTCTTTTCTGTGAGCCTGGCTCCTTTGAATTCAAATGCTGTATTTTTTGTTTATGTGCATGCATATATAGACATTCATTACGAAAACATGGTTTTAGAGTAATTTTAAGTTCTCTCAACCATACTGTGTACTTGTGTCCTTGGAGCAGGATGTGATAGTGGCTGATGTCCTAAGGCAAACCAAATGCATTGAACTAGGACAGCTTTTTCCAAAAATGATTCCAGCCTGCCAGCAAGCAGGAATAGGAATGTTCCTTCCTAGCCCAATGTATGATGTTTCTCCAAAATGTTCCTCTAGTGTTGGTCTGGGTTATGTTGTATAGAGAAGGGTGTTGCCTGACTCATTGCCCATCTCCCTTACACAGGTGACACCTGGGTATCTTTTCTCACACCTTAGAAGAGTGAGAGGCAAGGGATGAATGGAGAAGCAGCAGCAGCAGCACCCAGCTCAGATGAGCATGTTACTGAAAAGGTGACCACTTTGGCCCAGTAGTACCAAGAATGGAGGAGTCTGAGCCGAAGGGGATCGGATAGAGGAGAAGCAGATAAAAAAGCCCAGGAGTACTGATGTAGAAGGAAGAAAGGAGAGAGAATGTGCGAAGGGTCTTGTGGGCCCTTGAGGGTGAGAAGAGCGTGAGAATGTTTTGCATGACTTGTGGGAGAACTGGTGAAAGAGAAAGGGAAAGAGTGAGTTTGAACATGTCAGCAGAATTGGGCCCTCCCATCTTAGCTTGTTCCCATCCTTTTCAGAGTTCATCTGACTGATGATTTTCTGCACCTAGACACCAACTGATGATATTTTGATCATATATTTGGTATGATTACTGCTCTTAACTAGCTCATGTTTAGAATGGTTTATATTTACTATAACGTTTGTTGCAGCCTCTGCTCTAGGACTTCCACACAGAGACAGGCTTATAATAACTTTAAGTCCATAGTGAAATGACAGTTCAATGCTCTGGGAACAATTTCTTTACAGTCACAGATGATGCTGACGAAATATTTCACAATGAATAATTTATCCAGCAGACAAATTTAATGTTCCCAGTTAGTTCATGAACAGATCATGAAATTATTTGGTATTCAAAATTATTCTTTTTTATTTTTATTTTTTATTTATTTTTTCCCAGCAAATTGTCCTCCACATTTGGTACATTACCAGTTTCTCCTGATAATTGTGGTATGCATTTTGTGCTTGTTTGGGATTTTTATCAAATACTAACTGCTCTTACTGTTCTCAGTCAATTGTATTGGTGTGTTTAATTGTATGTCAATTGTATGTGGTGTATTTACTGCCTTGAAATATACTGTATTCAGCACCTGTCTACAGGATGCAGCTAGCTGAGAAGAAGATTAGATGAGTATGAATCCAAAAAAAAGATGGAAGGAAGTCCCATGGTATAAATGATGAGACTACTTCCTAAAATGCTAGGTAAATGTCATTGTAAAACAAATTTTGTTCTCGGTATGCACTATGTAAGAAAAACCAGTAGCCCCATGTATTTTCAAAAAATCATTGTTGAAACAGAACTTTAGTTATTAAGACAGATTATCTCAGTTTTCAGAAAATGACTTGATAGGCTCAAAGTAATGTTATGCATGTTTGGCTTCATGAGGGAAATCTATTCAGAGTAAAATACTTATTTCCAAGTATGACTCCCAGGAGCATGGTATGTATTCTGTGTTTAACATTCTATTTCACTGACTACAATAGTAATAGTATGTTAACCTCTGAGGCAGGATGTCACTGGGGTCTCATAGATGAAGTTGCAAAAATTTATGAAAACATATAAAAATAATAATAACCTCACAGCCACTGTTGAAAAACTTGTTCTGGAAATGGAAAGCTCCTTTCAAAGTATGTAAAGAGGTAGCTAATGGAGCTCGAGTTTTTGCATAAATATAGACTGAAACCATACAATGAAAAGGATTTGGTACACATTGTAAATCAACATAACCTAAATTGTATCTGGGACTATGCTTTCATGATCCACAGCAGCTTTATTCTGGCTCAGTCCCCAGATCTGTCAGATTCCCCCAGTATGAAAAAATGATATTCTTTTATTATCCCTGTAAGGTTATCTCACTTTCTTATTTGGGTGGTGTCTCTATGAATGCTCCATGCCATCACTCAAATCCAAGGGAATGAGCTACTGTTTTTTACTTGGTTGAGCTGGTTTAAGGTTTAAGTGCTAGCTAGCCTATTTTCTTGGCTAGGGAACTTAGATATTGCCATTCTTCCATAGTTCCCTTTGTTCCTCTGTGTGCTGGAGAAGAAAGATATTAATGCACCATTTGACTGGGATCAGAGGAATATGCTTCAGAGCACTGTGGCAAGTAGATGTCAGGGAGTCCTTGAGTCTCATGAGTACATCATGGATGTGAGAGTTCTCTGGGTGTGCACTCGCATTAGCTGTGCAATGAAAGCATGCCCATTGAAATCTGCTGTATCTCATAGAGAATGCGTTCCAATTGCATTTACTCCCTGGGATAAAACTGAGCCCTACTAGCTGATGCTAGAATGACAGTGAGGTGTTTTGTTGTGGCAGTGACAGTCTTTCAGCTATTTTACACTGCTTCAGATGCTCCCCAAGCTGGAAGAAGACTCCATGACTTAGAGACAATCCTAGCCAAGCAGTGATAGCAACAACTATCACTAATACTATATATGTTCACATACAGAGTGCAAGTGATGCTGTTAAAAAGGAGAAGTACATAAACCTCCCAATGGATGACAGTGATATCTAGCACATGAAGACCAAATTGTTTTCAAAATTAGTTCTAACAAAGCTTGTGATAAGTTAGAATTAGGTGAGAACTCTAGCCAACGATAATCTTTTCCAACCACATTACAGTCACAAAAGATTATCATTTGAAATCTCCTCTACAGAGGAAGTCTCCAAATTAAGTAA